CCTTATTGCAGTTTCTCTCCGGCATGCGGTCGACCCTGTTTCCACTTGGGCCACCCCGCATGGGTTTAAAAATTTTTAAGTACCAAAAAACCCCCAAAATTTCTTTCACTAGACCCCTCTGTAATCTCCGATCATCCTTTGGATCTCTATGGCCTTTCCCCCTCCCCGAAAGTTTATACAGTCGGTTTTTTAGGCCTTTTTCTTTGACCCTCGGGTTTTCCTTTGGGAAAAATCCATTACCTCTCTGAAGGCAATTTTTCCAGCGGGGCCCCAAAACCCCTTTTTAAAACCCCTTTTCTCACTTTCTGGGGGGCTGATCTCCCAAAATCGCTTCGCCTACATTCAGCCCTGTTTTATTTAAAAATCAATTATGGTGACCAAAATTTATTTCCCCGGCCTCTCCTGCTACTCCTCTAGCCTTAACCCCTACCATCACCCAAAGGGTTACGTTTTGGGCCCTTTGGGGCTTTTCGCTTTTTTCCCCGGTTTAGTCCTCTATACAGAAGCGTTTTTCCCCCCCTTGTTGATCGCCGTGATGCCCATTGCCTTCACTACTAAGTACGCTCTCACGATCTAAAACCCAAACCTTCCATTTTTTAAAAATGGTACCCCATATTAGGAGGCATTCTTTATTCGTTCGCCGCCCCCGTTTAATCCGTCCCTTTTTCCCCTTTTGCCCACATTCCCTTTGGTTTTCCCCTTTTGTTACCAATTTATATGTTTTTGTAGCATTTCAAATTTTCCCTAACCCCCCGGGAAATTCCTGGGTGTTCGGGTCTTTTCTTTCTCACTCCCCTTTCTCGAAAAACTCAACTGCCTAAAGGGGGCTTCCCGGGTCTCTTTTTTTTTGATCATTTCCCCCCCATTCATGCCACCGGGTGTTACACAGATGGCTCTAAAATTTCTGACGGGTCGGATTCGCAGCAGGGGTTTTCCCGGGCAGGGGTCGTGCGGGGCATTTACTATCTTCAGCTAGTTTTTTATGCTGAAAATGTATGCCTTTTTTTGAAGGGATTTTTTGTAAGGCAAACTATGCCTGTGTCATCATTTGTAGTAGTTCAGACTCCCTTTTGTGCTCTAAAAGGGTTTGAAAATTTTATAAAACTCTTCCCCCAGTTTCCCAAATTTTCCCCCTTTTGGCTATGCCGTATCCTACCAAAAATTTTAGTAGTGTTTTTTGTTGGGCCCGGGGCCCTGTCGAGTACAGGGCAATGAAAAAGGCAGGGCCCCTTTTCCCCGCGCGGGTTTGCAGTACAGACCTTAAACCCATTTTTCCTATCGAGGTGTTCCCTTTTTTGGGGGCTATTTTTGCGGCAATAGCTACCCCCCCTTCACACCCGTTGGCAACAACGTTGGTCAACTCTGCTTGGTAACAAACTTCATTCTATTAAACCGAGCATAGGTTACTGGCCGTCTTCTTGTCATCAGTGCCGAGGTTGGGAGACCACACTCTCTCCCGCCTTCGCATTGGCCACACTTGTCTTACTCATGGGTATCTCATGGCGAGGCACCCTGTTCCTCTCTGTGAGCAGTGTCAAGTTCCAGTATCGATTAGCCACATTCTGTTAGACTGCCCTCTCTATCAACGAGCACGCAGAATTTACCTCCAACGTCGTCTTCGTTCTACTACTCTCTCTTTACCTTCCCTTCTTGCTGATGGACCCTCCTTTAATCCTGACTCTCTCATTGACTTCTTGACAACGACTGATTTACTCCACAAACTCTGATGATACTTTTCGTACTCCCCTCAGCCCTTTCTAGTTCAGTCTCTTGCTGCCCTTTACCCTTTCACCATCCACTACCCCGCTGTTATCCGTAACCTATTACTCATCCATCTCCCTTTTGCCACCTGATGCCCTCGCTTCCTTCCTGCCCTGCAGCGCTGTATAGTCTTTGTGGCTTAGTGCTTCTTTTTGATTATAATAATAATAATAATAATGTGGATTCCATCTCACATTGGTCTTCAGATGCATGATAGAACTGATAAATTGGCTAAGCTGTATGCTTTCAAAGAGGGAGTAGATTACAATCTTGGCTTGTCAGGTAGTAGTTTGAGAACAATAATACGAAAAGAACTTCAACTGAATTTTATGGACTTAAGGCTCAGGGAGATTGACACCAGTGAGTCCATCTATCATCATTCTATCATGCAGGAGGAGCCACATGTCTATGGTGCATCCAACAAAATAAGCAGACTCATGGATGTCACTGCTGCCCGGCTCCGGCTGGGTTACAAGTATCTTTGGCAAGTTAAATCACCACCACCAGATGTAGACCAAACGAAATGTAAACTTTGCCAGATGGACTATTGTCACACCCTGCGTCATTATGTACTGGAGTGTGATAAAATTAATGAATTTAGAAACAACTCAGAAATGTTCAAGAAATGGCAAAGTATTTTATCCACAGTGGTATATTGCAGACCATTCTGGAGAAATACCCTGACTTTGCTAGCTGTAAATAAAGCATTACCACATGTGTGCGTGTGCGTGTGTGTGTGTGTGTGTGTGTGTGTGTGTGTGGTGTGTGTGTGTGTGTGTGTGTGTGTGTGTGCACTCACCTAGTTGAGATTGCAGGGGTCGAGTCCAAGCTCCTGTGTGTGTGTGTGTGTGTGTGTGTGTGTGTGTGTGTGTGTGTGTGTTTGTGTTTGTGTTTGTGTGTGTGTGTGTGTATGTGTATGAGTGTGTGTGTGTGTATGAGTGTGTGTGTGTGTGTATGAGTGTGTGTGCATGTGTGTGTATGAGTTTGTGTGTGTGTGTGTGTGTGTGTGTATTTGTGTGTGTGTGTGTGTGTTTATGTGTGTGTGTGTGTGTGTATGAATTTGTATGTGTGTGTGTGTCTCAACAATCAATATTTGCACCAATAACTCATTACAGTTGTGACTGGGTGTGGAAGTGTGAATTGCTCATTACACTATAATTTGCTCATGATTGTAGCCATGTATAAACGTAAGTAACCATTCTTACGGTATTCATTACCTTTGTAACTTGTGAGTTCATTACCTTGTACCTAGTTCAGCCATCAAAACTTTGGGGCCTGGTCCCTGGACCCATTATGTACCTCTGTAATCTGTAAATACCTTTGTAACTTGTCATGATTGTGACTAGACCTACCTGGAGTTCATTACCTTTGTAAATTGTGAATTCTTTACCTCTGTAACTTGCTCAGCTATCAAAACTTTGGAGTCCAGTCCCAGGACCAATTATGTACCTCTGTAATCTTTTGACTACCGCCCACAGGATGGGTATGGGGTGCATAATAAACATATTAAACTAAAGGAAGAGGGCCAAATTTCTTCATAACCTGCTTCTCATCTGTAAGGCCCACAAGGCCTGGACTTTGCAGAAGCTAAACTGTACCCAAGTAACACAGTCTGTTGTCTCCATAGCAAAACAGGTGAACACTCGAGATCCTTTTTACCGGCACATCAGAGATCACTGCTACCAGCAGTGGAGAAACACCCCACTTATCCACTAAAAATGCTAGGGAGAGAGGAGGGAGGTGCTGCAATAAGTTATAATGTATCCCATCCTTCCTGGAAACCATAGTTTCATGATTCCTCCATCCCAGACAGTAGATCACTAGGCTCTCCAGTGTTCCTCACAGTGGGTAAAGAGACAGTCTTGTGAAGTTTCTGGGCCTGGAACTTAGGACTGTAACTCCTGAGGCTAGACAAACAGGAGATGCCCCCAGCAAAGGTGTTGATTACCTCTGAAGAGTCACCTGTGACTTGCTTCAAGAGGATTTCTACTCTCACAGCCCATCCTGGGGACATGCTGGAGAAGGCTGAGCAGTGGGCAAAGGAAGTACATCCCAGACATCTTTCTGATCTTATCCCATATATGTCCACGAGTGTTGGGTTAATTCCCTCCACTTGATGGACCCAAGGCATTCACCAAGAGTTTTGAACATCTTCTTCTTGATGACCAACATTTGCTGGTATATCAGCTTATTAACCAACAAATAGTGATCCCTGACAGCCTTGGTGTCTGTATTGGTATTGTGTCTGTCTGCTCTTAGTGAAAAATAAGAATGCCACCATTGTATGATACCATGTTACACCAGAGAGCAGGAGGCCTACCTGCCCACTCCAGGCTGATGCTACCAACTCCACCTCTAATATATTACTCCACTTTTAACCAGTGTTCGCCTGATGTCTTGTACTATATTTATACCCTAGCTACTTTCTGTTAAGACAAAGGAAGCTAATCATGACAAAATGTTTCCTTAGTAAATACCTTGATCAGTCCATATGTCTTATCTTCTACATTACATTTTTTTTTTGAGAAATTATGAATCACATGTATACAGAAATTGAGAAAGAGTATTAAATAAATGGTAAGAACTATAAAAGAAATAGATAAAATGTGATATGAAAAGACTTAAATTATACCCTTTGCCTACTTAATAGGGAAGTAAATATATTTCAGTTAGTGAGGGGTTTTAAACTGAGGATGTTTCACCTACCAGGGAATTTTCTCACTCACTGGGGGGGGGGTTAATTATTATTATAATCAAGGGGGAAGCGCTAAACCCATAGGATTATACAGCGCCCGGGGAGGGGGGGATGTGGAAATCATTCAGGCTTAATTCGGGGAACTGGAGCACAGATCCAATTCTCTAAATCAAGAGCCCCTCACCAACATCAAGGAACCTTCCATGAGGGGGGGAGGGGGTTAGGAGTCTTCATCCACCAGGTGAGTGAAACATTTCTCAACAAGTGTCTTGACACTGAGGGTTTTAAAAACAAATTATTTAACAAAGCAAACCAAAATTAAAGTTGAGTATGTAAAGTTGTAGTATTATATTCATGGAAAGCACCAGACTTGTTTGGGATATGAAGCTGAGGTTTTACAAACCCACCCTCAGATTAAATCTGATTGCATCCTATTCCCCAAATGCTGTAGTTTTTCAAAACAAAAGTATTGGAAAAGTATATAAATTAAGTTCTCCAAACAGTAAATGCTATGTACATTCTGTTGTAATCTCTTTTTTTATAGGAAAAAGCGTGAGATCAGTAAACAGATAGTGGCTGAAGGCATCCAGGAAAGGCAGAGGCTGACTGATATTCATGATAAAAAGAAGGCTGAGTTAGAAAAACAACACGAAGAAATCCGTATTCAGTTTGAAGAAGCGAAACAAAAGGTAAGAACTTTATGCACATCTACACTTTTCCACCAAGGGAGTGTGACCCCCAAAGAAGGAAACACATTGACCACTACTCACTCCTTAACTGTCTTGCCAAAAATGTTTCACATGGAGGTAGGGTAACCCAAAGAAGGAAATATTCACTATCCCTAATTCAATAGGTGCCTTTCAAACCATAAATGGAGGGTACAGGTGCTCCTTGACTGATGATGGGGTTACGTTCCAACAAACCCATCTTAATTCAAAAATATCATAAGCAGGCCTGACAAAGCTCCTGGAGAGTGAAAAGTTGCCACAGTAAAATGTTGCATTAGTTGCACATGGCTTTTACCCAACAACACTGAGACTGTAATAACTAAGGTATATTACTCTTACTTTTTCTCACCAATAACTATACCCTCGAGTTATTTGAGATTCATCCTCCATTACCATATTCCTCTAATTTTCTTGTTAGTCTCATGGAGATTATTTATAATAAAATTATTTTATTTTCAAAAAAGTTTGTTAAAAATTTGGTATAATTTTTTTTTTTTTTATTTTTGACAAGTCCATGGCTAAGTAGAGCATTTTTTGGATGACAAAGACTAGAACTACTTAACATTAATAAACATGTATAATTGATGTGATACTATTCTAGACAATGAGTTTGATACATTTGGTGTTCCATATCTTAAAAATTAAGATCCTGCTGAACTTCAGGTATATACAGGTAATAATGTAAATTTTGCAGTAGTCTTCTGCTTCATGCAGTAATTCTTATTCCTATACCTGGAGTATACCTGGAGAGGGTTTTGGGGGTGAATGCCCCCATGGCCTGGTCTGTGACCAGGCTTCATGGTGGATTAGGGCTTGATCAACCAGGCTGTTACTGTTGGCCACACATAAGCTGACATATGAACCACAGCCCGGCTAGTCAGGTACTGACATTAAGGACTCTCCAAATTATAATAAAAAAAAAAGAGCTAAACCTACAAGGGTCATACAGCGCAGTGCAGGGCAGGGCAGGGAAGGGTGAAGGGGTATTGGGTAGCAAGAGGGATAGGGATTAGTTTTAGGCTATGGAGTGCAGTGTGGCAGTGGATAGTGCAGGGGTAGAGGGTAGCAAGATATTAAGGTAGAAATGATTGTGAAGAGTGCGAGAGGCATCATTATAAGAGTTTGTGCAGTAAATCAGTTGCTGTCAAAAAGTCAACAAGAGAGTCTGGGTTAAAGGAGGGTCCATCAACAAGAAGGTAAGGTAAAGTAGGGGAAGCAGAGTGGTAATGATGCTGGAGGTAAATTCTGTGTGCTCGTAGATAGAGTGGGCAGTTCAACTGAATATCGCTAACAGAAACTGGAACCTGTCAATTCACACAGAGTGGAACAGGGCACTTCTCCATGAGGTGCCCATGAGTAAGATGAGTGTAGCATTGATGACAAGAAGACAGCCAGAAACCTATACTTGATTTAATGAAATGTAATTTGTTACATAGTAGATCAGACCAACGTTGTTGCCAACAGGTGCGAAGGTGGGTAGCAACTACAGCAAAATAGTCTGTGAATGGAACACCTCAATATGAAACTGGGAGGCCATGTACTGCTGACTGGACAGCAGTGTCTGCCTGTTCATTGCCCTGTACGTCAACATGGCTGGAGACCCAACAAAAAACAATATCTTTGTACTTGCTAGAGATACGTGTAACCAAAGTTGGATACAAAGAACCAGGGGATGAAGTGTATCAAATTTTCGTATAGCCTGTAAAGCACTAAGGGAGTATGAAACAACCACAAATGGCGACACAGGCATAGCTGCAACATGGATAAGTGCTACGAAAATGGCATACAATTCAGCTCAAAAATGCAAGCCGAGGGTAATAAATGCCCTCATAGGATGCTGTTTGGAAACACTGCTGTGACTCCGATGCCATCAGAAGACTAGGAACCATCGGTGTACACTGCGATGGCATGAGAATGAGATTGGAAGCGGTTAAGAAAAAGAGAGTGAGAAGCCACTGTAGGCAGTTGGGCTTTTGCGCATAGCAATGGGAAAGAACAGACATGAACCGTTGGCACTTCCCAAGGGGGTAGGGAAAAGTGAGATGTTACATGAACATAAAGGTGGTGACTGAGAAGACGAGCAAATGGTGGCAAAATGGGATGGACTAACATCAGTGACTATCCTATATATGGAAGGATTGCGGAGGTCATGAGAGCAAACATAATAGCAAAGGCAATGAGCATCATGGTGATTGGTCATGGCTGGAATATTTGCTTCTGCATAGAGGCTCTCAACTGGCGAAGAGCAAAAAGCACCAAGGCATAAATGTAGTCCCTGGTGATGGATGGGATTAAGGCTAGAATGAGTTGCAGGAGAAGCCACTGAATATATCTGGTCACCATAATTGAGTTTCAATAAAATTAGGGCTGAATGTAGTAGAAGGAGAGTTTTACGATCAGCCCCCCATGAAAGATGAGCGAGGGTTTTATGGAGGTTCAGCCTTTGACAGGTTGCCTTCAGAGAGGTAATGTGAGGATTCCAGGATAACCGACAGTCAAACAGAAGGCCGAGAAACCTGACCATATCACATTCTGAGATATGCGAGCCATATAGGTAAAATGGGTGATCAGAGACAACAGAACGTCTAGTGAAAGTAATTTGGCGAGTTTTAGTACTAGAAGATTTAAGCCCATGAGTAGTGTCCTAATTGGAAACACGGTTGACTGCATGCTGGAGAGAGATTGCAATGAGGTGACAGTCAGTGCCTGCACAAGCTATAGCAAAGTCATCAGCATAGTGTGATGACAAAATATTAGATGGAAGAATAGATGCCAGATCATTTATAGCAAGAAGAAGTATTGTGCTCAGAACATGTCCTTGGGGGACACCTTCAGCTTGGACAAAGTCCGGGGAAAGCATATTACTAACCTGAACATGGAAATCTCTCTCAGTTAAGAAGTTCTTAATGAAAAATGGTAGATTGCCTCAGAGGCCTAAGGAGTGGGCCAGGGCCAAGATGTTATACCTCAAAGTTGTGTCATATGCCTTCTCAAGGTCAAAAAAGATGGCAATAACTGAGTGGTTATTGGCTAAGGCATTACGAACATATGTATCCAAGTGTAGTGTAGGGGACAGGGGAGGAAGATACTGTATGAGGAGGAGGATGAACCTCCACACTCATAACAGAGCCAGTTAGAGGTGAAGAACCAGGCACAGAGACTGGAAAGGAAAAATGTGCAGGTAGAAGGGAAGGAGAGGTTAAAGGAGATTTTAACACTGGGGATTTTTTGGACTTCGGAGAAGCAGAGGGGCGATGGAGAGGAATTGTTGTACAAGGTCTTGTAGACACAAACTTGTAAGAAGAGAAAGAGGTGAGAACAGAATGAGGTGTCGAGGTAGGGACCTCCGAGTCCAGGACAGCAAAAGAAAGGGGTGACTGTGGAAGAAATGACCACAGAGAAGGCTGCAGAAGCTGGGACCCCACAGGTGGGGAGTCGTTTAGTAACTCAAGAATAAGAAATAAAGGGAAGTCTCCCCTGGAGGCATAGACAAGAGACTGCCATAGCATAAGGAAAGCCTTCTGCCTCTTTGAGACAATGAACTTCTCACTCATTTAAGTAAACTTGGCAATGGTGAGAGTAGGGTGGGCAAGCCTCATGACAATTAAGGCAAGAGGGAGGTAGACTACAAGATGTATTGGTATAGTCATCGGCACCATGGACTGGGCATTCGGCCATGGACCTGCAATATTTTGCTGGATGGCAAAAATGCCAGCAATTTCTACACTGTTGTGGTGTAGGGATCACCTTTCGAACTTGTAAACAGTGTTCCGCAATATAAACTGAGGATGGAAGCTCATGGCAGTCAAAAGTTTAGCGAGCTACATTGCAAGGGTATTGTCTCCGCTTGTGGGCAGGGAGGACATAAGTGCCTACTTTGAGTATTGGGAGTCTTGGAGCTCAAACTGTTCTAGAATGTCATCACCACTTTTACGGAAATTCTGTTGGTTAATGGTATGAGGTAGAATGACAGTACCACTACAAGAATTGAGAGAATGATGTTTTTCAATAGTTACAGGAGAGAAAGATCGCGAGCTTGGCTAGCATTCTGTACTATGATGATGCGTGTGCACTCTTGAGAGCATGAAGGATATATCTTGCCCAACATGGCATATGAGCACCTTGCCAATACTATGATTGGAAAGATAGTCAGGAGAAGTAGTCAGTCAGAGTAAAAAACTTAGTCTATTGTGCATTTTGAAACATAGCGTGTAAGAGGAGGGAGTGTTGTGCCGGTCTTTTCTGGGCAGAATGAGAAGGAAGTGAAGGAGTATCATCAGGTAATGGTCTTGGGTGTTTAGGTGTGGGACTGGAGTTGGTCCGACTTGGGATGGGCGGGCGATCCGAAAAGAGCCACACCATAGAGGGAGAAGCTGGAAGTATGGTCGAAGAAGTGTGGAGGTCAGATGTATCAAAGGAGTCAGGCAGAACCCCAGTACGTACCTGGAGCAGGTGATGAAACGGCACCAGCAGGAGGTATAGGGGCATGAGAAATGTCTGAAGAGTGGTTAAATAAAGAGGTAGGGTCAAAGCAAGGTGTGGTAGCAGAAAGGAGCCCAGGGGGAGCAGTTTCATGGACTTAGGACTCCATGGTTATGTCACTTCTTTCTTTTTGTTTTTTAGAAAAAAAGTAAAAAGAAAAAAAAGGGGGGGGGAACGTGGAGGGAATGAAAGGCCCATAAGCCCCTCTCCACACCCAAGAGAACCCCAGCACCACAAGTAGTGCAGATGCGGCATGAAACCCGTGCCATACCCTATCCTTCATGCCAGTAAACCAGCAGTCTGGGGTAGCAACCTCACATCTACTGAGCCACCTTGGTGGACAAAAGAAGGGTGGCCAGATACCCGCCACAAAGCATACCTCTTTCGGCCACACCACCCAGAATCTGAAAGGCAGCTTCCAGAGATACACCCGTCACCCAAAAGATACCCAAAGCCACCCCCTAGGAGACTGGGGAGGGAGTGGGACATCCCCAGGCAATCCAGATTCCATGGCAAACTACACCACCACCACGGACCTCAACAAAATAGGATGGGCCATGGCACCCTTCCCCCTACCTAGGAACTGAAGTACCTGTGGGAAGAAGAATCCCAAAGGCTGAAAACAGGAAGGGAATAGGGGCAGGATGGAGAGAGGAGGAGGAAAGGGAAAAGGGAGGATATGGAGGATGGGATAGGGAAGGGGGGATTGGGGAGTAATTAGGTTTGGTCTGAGGAAGGAGACCAAAAGGTCTAATTCCTCAGACCAAGAGCCTCTTCATTGCACCAGGGAACCCACCCTTGAAGAGGACTATATATTTAATAATTATTACTATAGCTATTTTGTTACTTTATACTGTAAGGTGTTATGCTTATTAGCAATTTTTTTGTATTTCAGGCGAGAAACGAGATTGAAACTGATTATGAGGAAAGACGGATAAAGCTGGAAGAAACTCTTTCCTTGTAGACTTCTATTTAAGGTACCCTCCTTTAATGCTGTTGAAATCTGTCCTATAAATACTGTATCCAATAGTTCTTTTTTAATACAATATTACTTAATAATAAATAATTTTAAAGTCTGAAAAACTACATCATACAGTTCAATGAACTACTTAAGACCTCAACCTTTCTAGTATTACTTTCCAGTTTCAAATTATAATTATAATCAAGGGGAAGCACTAAACCCTCCAGTTTCATTATTATTACAATCAAGGGGGAAGCGCTAAACCCGGAGGATTATACAGCGCCTGGGGGGGGATGTGGAAGGCATTCAGGCTTAATTTGGGGAACTGGAGCACAGATCCAATTCCCTAAATCAAGAGCCCCTCACCAACATCAAGGAACCTCCCTTGAGGGGCCCTCCAGTTTCAAATCTTCCTTCCACTTTTAGTTCAGTATGCTTCCCAGTTTCAAAGCTTCCTTCTAATTTTAGTTCAGTATGCTTCCCAGTTTCAAAGCTTCCTTCTAATTTTAGTTCAGTATGCTTCCTATTCAAGCTTCCTTCTAATTTTAGTTCAGTATTGCTTCCCAGTTTCAAATCTTCCTACCATTTGTACTTCAGTATCCTCCTTACCCTTGTGTTTACTCTATAGTGTTTTAATCAGGCTTCATTTAAAAAAAAAAACCCAAACCTCAAATAACAGTGGAGACAGCTGTTAAACAAAGGCGGATACTCAAATTTTTTAGCACTGAGACAGGAATGTGTGATCTGTATAGGTGAGCTACAGTATTTAGAAACTGAACTGCTTAGTCTGCTCAGCCCAGATGTAATTGCAGTAGATCTCTTATTGCAAGTGCTGAGCAATATGGCAGCTGAGGTTGAATTCCTGATGGGAATATCCTGAATCCTGAGTCAAAAACGTTATTATGGAGGCAAAGAAGGAATGTATGAAAGTATGTAGTACCAACATCTTATATGGGCGTGAAGCTTGGTGGTAAATGTAGCAGCGAGGAGATGGTTGGAGGCAGTGGAGATGTCCTGTTTAAGGGCATGTGTGGTGTAAAATATTATGCAGAAAATTCGGAGTGTGGAAATTAGGAAAAGGTGTGGAGTTAATAAAAGTATTAGTCAGAGGGCAGAAGAGGGGTTGTTGAGGTGTTTGGTCATTTAGAGGAATGGATCAAAGTAGAATGACATGGAAAGCATATAAATCTATAGGGGGAAGGAAGGCAGGGTAGGGGTCATCCTCGAAAGGGTTGGAGAGAGGGGGTTTAAAAGGTTCTTTTCAACTTTTATTAAAAAATAGGGTTTCCCGTTTAAATTTTACTTTGCTCCCCCCAACCCGTCCAAGTATTAAAAACCATTGTCTCCATTCACTCCTATCAAACACGCTAAACGCATGCCTGCGGGAAGTCCAAGCCCCTCGCACAAAAAAACCCCCTTTACCCCTCCCTCCAACCCTTCCTAGGCCGACCCCTACCCCCCCTTCCTTCCACTACAGACTGATACACTCTTAAGTCATTCTGTTTCGCTCCATTCTCTCTACATGTCCGAACCACCTCAACAACCTTCCTCAGCCCTCTGGACAACAGTTTTGGTAATCCCGCACCTCCTCCTAACTTCCAAACTACGATTCTCTGCATTATATTCACACCACACATTGCCCTCAGACATGACATCTCCACTGCCTCCAGCCTTCTCCTCGCTGCAACATTCATCACCCACGCTTCACACCCATATAAGAGCGTTGGTAAAACTATACTCTCATTACATTCCCCTCTTTGCCTCCAAGGACAAAGTTCTTTGTCTCCACAGACTCCTAAGTGCACCACTCACTCTTTTCCCTCATCAATTCTATGATTCACCTCATCTTTCATAGACCCATCCGCTGACACGTCCACTCCCAAATATCTGAATACGTTCACCTCCTCCATACTCTCTCCCTCCAATCTGATATTCAATCTTTCATCACCTAATCTTTTTGTTATCCTCATAACCTTACTCTTTCCTGTATTCACCTTTAATTTTCTTCTTTTGCACACCCTACCAAATTCATCCACCAATCTCTGCAACTTCTCTTCAGAATCTCCCAAGAGCACAGTGTCATCAGCAAAGAGCAGCTGTGACAACTCCACTTTGTGTGTGATTCTTTATCTTTTAACTCCAGCGCTCTTGCCAAGACCCTCGCATTTACTTCTCTTACAACCCCATCTATAAATATATAAACAACCACGGTGACATCACACATCCTTGTCTAAGGCCTACTTTTACTGGGAAAAAATTTCCCTCTTTCCTACATACTCTAACTTGAGCCTCACTATCCTCATAAAAACTCTTCACTGCTTTCAGTAACCTACCTCCTACACCATACACTTGCAACATCTGCCACATTGCCCCCCTATCCACCCTGTCATACGCCTTTTCCAAATCCATAAATGCCACAAAGACCTCTTTAGCCTTATCTAAATACTGTTCACTTATATGTTTCACTGTAAACACCTGGTCCACACACCCCCTACCTTTCCTAAAGCCTCCTTGTTCATCTGCTATCCTATTCTCCGTCTTACTCTTAATTCTTTCAATTATAACTCTACCATACACTTTACCAGGTACACTCAACAGACTTATCCCCCTATAATTTTTGCACTCTCTTTTATCCCTTTGCCTTTATACAAAGGAACTATGCATGCTCTCTGCCAATCCCTAGGTACCTTACCCTCTTCCATACATTTATTAAATAATTGCACCAACCACTCCAAAACTATATCCCCACCTACTTTTAACATTTCTATCTTTATCCCATCAATCCCGGGTGCCTTACCCCCTTCATTTTACCTACTGCCTCACGAACTTCCCCACACTCACAACTGGCTCTTCCTCACTCCTACAAGTATGTTATTCCTCCTTGCCCTATACACGAAATCACAGCTTCCCTATCTTCATCAACATTTAACAATTCCTCAAAATATTCCTTCCATCTTCCCAATACCTCTAACTCTCCATTTAATAACTCTCCTCTCCTATTTTTAACTGACAAATCCATTTGTTCTCTAGGCTTTCTTAACTTGTTAATCTCACTCCAAACTTTTTCTTATTTTCAACAAAATTTGTTGATAACATCTCACCCACTCTCTCATTTGCTCTCTTTTTACATTGCTTCACCACTCTCTTAACTTCTCTCTTTTTCTCCATATACTCTTCCCTCCTTGCATCACTTCTACTTTGTAAAAACTTCTCATATGCTAACTTTTTCTCCCTTACTACTCTCTTTACATCATCATTCCACCAATCGCTCCTCTTCCCTCCTGCACCCACTTTCCTGTAACCACAAACTTCTGCTGAACACTCTAACACTACATTTTTAAACCTACCCCATACCTCTTCGACCCCATTGCCTATGCTCTCATTAGCCCATCTATCCTCCAATAGCTGTTTATATCTTACCCTAACTGCCTCCTCTTTTAGTTTATAAACCTTCACCTCTCTCTCCCTGATGCTTCTATTCTCCTTGTATCCCATCTACCTTTTACTCTCAGTGTAGCTAAAAACTAAAAGTGATCTGATATATCTGTGGCCCCTCTATAAACATTTTACATCCTGAAGTCTACTCAACAGTCTTTATCTACCAATACATAATCCAACAAACTACTGTCATTTCGCCCTACATCAAAATCGTGTATACTTTTTTTTATCCTCTTTTTCTTTAAATATGTATAACTATAACTAAACCCCTTTCTATACAAAGTTCAATCAAAGGGCTCCCATTATCATTTACACCTGGCACCCCAAACTTACCTACCACACCCTCTCAAAAAGTTTCTCCTACTTTAGCATTCAGACCCCCCACCACAATTACTCTCTCACTTGGTTCAAAGGCTCCTATACATTCACTTAACATCTCCCAAAATCTCTCTCTCTCCTCTGCATTCCTCTCTTCTCCAGGTGCATAATCTGTCCTATAAATACTGTATCCAATAGTTCTTTTTTAATACAATATTACTTAATAATAAATAATTTTAAAGTCTGAAAAACTACATCATACAGTTCAATGAACTACTTAAGACCTCAACCTTTCTAGTATTACTTTCCAGTTTCAAATTATAATTATAATCAAGGGGAAACACTAAACCCTCCAGTTTCAAATCTTCCTTCCACTTTTAGTTCAGTATGCTTCCCAGTTTCAAAGCTTCCTTCCACTTTTAGTTCAGTATGCTTCCCAGTTTCAAAGCTTCCTTCCACTTTTAGTTCAGTATGCTTCCCAGTTTCAAAGCTTCCTTCCACTTTTAGTTCAGTATGCTTCCCAGTTTCAAATCTTCCTACCATTTGTACTTCAGTATGCCTCCTTACCCCTTGTGTTTACTCTATAGTGTTTTAACAGGCTTCATTTAAAAAAAAAAAAGCCAAACCTCAAAATAACAGTGGAGACAGCTGTTAAACAAAAGGCAGGAACTCAAATTACTTTAGCACTGAGACAGGAAATGTGTGATCTGTATAGGTGAGCTACAGTATTTAGAAACTGAACTGCTTAAGTCTGCTCAGCCCAGATGTAATTGCAGAAGATCTCTTATTGCAGGTGCTGAGCAAATATGGCAGCTGAGGTTGAATTCCTGATGGGAAAATATCCTGAAACCTGAGTCAAAAAACGTTATCTATGGAGGCAAAAAAGGGAATGTATGAAAGTATAGTAGTACCAACACTCTTATATGGGTGTGAAGCTTGAGTGGTAAATGCAGCAGCGAGGAGATGGTTGGAGGCAGTGGAGATGTCCTGTTTAAGGGCAATGTGTGGTGTAAATATTATGCAGAAAATTCGGAGTGTGGAAATTAGGAAAAGGTGTGGAGTTAATAAAAGTATTAGTCAGAGGGCAGAAGAGGGGTTGTTGAGGTGGTTTGGTCATTTAGAGAGAATGGATCAAAGTAGAATGACATGGAAAGCATATAAATCTATAGGGGAAGGAAGGCAGGGTAGGGGTCGTCCTCGAAAGGGTTGGAGAGAGGGGGTAAAGGAGGTTTTGTGGGCAACGGGCTTGGACTTCCAGCA